GGAGTTCAGATGGCCGGTCGTAGACCGAACTGTTGAGGGTACCCCCGCTTTATTCGGTACTTCTGCACACAGTAGCAGACTACACTTGGCGTCAAACTATAAGCTTTCGCCCGGAAGTTAGTTTTCGCTCTCCGGATATATCTCTAATAATAACGAGACTTCTTTAAGGCCAGTGGTTCGCAGTTGTACGGTAAATCCTTAAAGTTTCCCTCGTCAAAGACGCGCTTCCTTCAAATTAAGATTTCTCTTCCATCCTGTCCTGTAATACAAACAATAAGAAGTTGCTATTTCTTGATCATTACAAGATTAATCGGATTTATTTGTGTCAAAGGAGCTTTGAGCTTTTAACTGAGTCAGCAGTGGTGTTTGCTAAAAATTATTTCTTCAATCAGAGGCTGATAATTAATATTATGATGACTTTAGGGAGATTAAAGAGCTTAATAAAAATTAATCGATTGATTTAATAGTAATTAGGGTATATACGTTTAGATATTTAATACAGTTGGAAAAGGGGAATGTGTGTAAGTAAGAGAAATGTCTGGTGAGTATAGAAAGGGGGAGGGATAATTGAATACAACTAGATCGAGCCGAGCGTTTCCACCCCATTAAATCGGGCTTAAACTCTAACAGGATTGAGGGAAAAGGGAATGTTGGTTCTCTCATTTCTATTCCCTTTACCTTTCTCAGTCTATGCTATCGTAGTCTATATAGTTGTATATAAGTATATGTTGACTGGTATATGTACACACGTTTACTGCTGCTCCAGCTGGGGGCCAATCAGTGTTGCCCTTCATTCAGTTACTGTAATACCATCAAATACTCTTACATATACATATATATATATATATATATATATATATATATATATTCAACTAAACTATTTTCTTCACTTCGCGTGAGCACTATTCTTTGAAGGTCGATTCATTTCCTTCACACATTTTTTGAGTCTTTTACTCCAAACTTGCGTTTTAACAATCCTTGGATTTTCTTTTAGACTCTTTTATTGAACTTTTTTTTTCCTCATATGTGAATGAAAATACTTTTCAGAGTAAATGGATATCTTTATATCATACTAATGTATAATATTTTTGGTTAAAAAGAGTTAATGCTATACAAACGTAACAGAAATAATTTTTATAATATTGATTTCAGAAAAAATAACTTGAAACTTAAAATTCGCAACGATTAGTGTTTGACGATATCTCGAGGTCAGATGGGTTTCAGTCGATGAGAGATCAATCAATGCGTTTCACTCAATATACTCTTTCCCAAGTATGCTCTTGAAAGGATCCACTTTACCCCTCTCACCTCTTCACAGTAATAAATAAAACCATATTGCGTATATTTCGGCAATATTACCGTCACAATGAAGATGCGAAATTCGCTAATAAAAATAAACATTGAGATTTGGGGGATTCAGAATGATATGGCTTATCATTTGAACTAGAAAAAAACGATAGACACAAAACTATCATGTGACATATTTATGCTGTGTTATGTGTACGATTGGAGTGTATATTTCACTGTGTAAAAGTTGAACAAAGATAGAGAACAAGTCGTGTCGAACGATCCCAGATATTATATAGTTATATCTTTCTCTTGTCATGAGCAGGGTGAAATGTAGAGGGAGGAAAAGCTGAAAAGAGAATTCTCAGCACCATTCATACAATCGGAAACAGCCTGAAATAAAGGCTTGACAGACTCCTCACGACAAAAGCAAAACGCATTTTTCTTCTACCGATACCAGAGGTTGTTTGACGCCATGGTATTTTCTCGTCTCGATACGATTTTAGGAGAGGAATTGCAAGGATAAATTTCAACAAATAATAGAAAAATATGTATTACTTTTTAAATGTCTTTCATCATTTTTTGTTTATATTATTTACACTTTTTTTTGGTTTATTGTTTCGAGAATATTTTTTTTTTTTTAAGCTCCTCGAATTTATTGAATTTTTTTTTCTGAGCAAAATTTCTAATGAATTTATTTTTCAGAGGCTTTCAACGAGCATTGGGATTGTTTCCTAGACTAATTACTTGTACAGTGTGTTCCTAGATTGGAATATAATGACTTTTTTCTTAATAAATTAGCTGAATTAAAGAAAAAAAAAAAAACCAAATCATAGATTACTCTTGATTGCTGTGGTAGCAGTTGAAATGGACCTTTTTGATCAGGTAAAAGTATTTCTATTTCAAATCAAGAGCAATCATTGGTGCAGCTTCTTTAGCCAATTTTTCATGAAAGATCGTCTATATCTGTACAGGCAATATAATTGAACCTACTGTCATTGACTGATGGTGCATCAATGAATTCTCGTCAGTCGTCTTGGTAATTAACGCAACGGCATCGAGTGCAAGTTATGACCGATCGTGGTATGAGTATACGCCCCAGCCATTGGCCTAATCGATATCCGATCACTCGAGCAATACGTCAAGTACATCCCGCGCTGGTCATTCTCTATTACTATACGCGCGACCGCGCGATCCTCGCCGTTGAGCTTCGTTGAGTGGAGCCATAGGATCCTATGTCCTGCTGAATGCGTACACTACTTCGCTCACAAATCCCCCGATCTACGGCCAATAATTAAGTTTTCCATTAATCGTTGAACCAGCTGCTCTCATATAGCTAATGCCATTGCCATGAGACTGACTAGATCTCACCCGGAACATCAAAACTAATCAGTTGACAATAAAATGTTATGGCTGGTTGAGCTGCAAAAGAGATCTACTGAGCTTTTATTTGAAACGTCATTTAAAATTTTCTAATAATACTACTCTATTGTGTTCTTCGTATTATTATTATTATTTCATTTTGCCTTTTTTCTTGTACTTCATCTTGAAAAAAAAAATCGTGGATACCAAATTTCCCTAGTGAAATATTTTATTACTGTGGTAACAATAGAGTTTTCTCGTTTATAATCAGGAATATTTTCCATCCACTAAAAGAAAAATTTATTTCGTTTTTTGTTAATAAATAAATAAATAAATAAAACAATCAATTTAATCTATAAAATATTAAATTTTTTGTGATTTTTTGTAAAGCTAGAAACTTTTTGAATTAATTTATGCATCAGTAAGTTAGAAATCAATGCTTGCTTGCTAACTTATACAGTGAGTTGTTAGTTAAATAAAAAATTCAATAATTAACATATAGTTATAAATAAAATAATGACTTCTAAAAGCTAAAATGTCTCTAGAGACCTAGATGGTAATTTGTTTGATGAATAACATATGCACCGTCAGTGCTTATATGTAATACACTTTTAGTATATTTTGTGGAGAAAAGTTAGCAAACGAAAACATGAGAGTTTGTCAAAGTGCTGTTGGCTTTTTGTTAACAGAAAGACAAATACTTGGACTAGTATTTTCCACGGGATCTTCTTTGTGGTATATATTTATCAAAGTCCTTTTTCGTAACAATAAACACGGTCGAGCGAGTCCGCAGAAGGAAAATTTAAAGAAGAGAAAACGAAGGAAATATCAGACAGCACGTAGTAAAGCCAGCGAAACCAGTTAAGCAGCTATTGGATAAAATGACGGGAAATTGTCAGAAGGTATTTCGCAATATCGGTTGTGTTATACCTGACGCAAAGAATCTTCAAGAAAACGAGACATTGGCTTTTCAACAATAAACGAACATTGAAACTCTTTCATATAAGAATTTTTCATGTTGATTGAAGTTACCACATGCTTGAGTTATATATGACTCTGGGTTATCAATCGTTGCTTAAGTTGATGTATCGATTATTAAATTATTCTTTTTATTTTATTTCTTCTCTCCACACTTATTTTAATTTACTACTAAAATTGTTTTTTATTTATAACCACAGATGGGGTTTTAAAAAAATTTCATACTTGGTTACATAATCACTCTTTTTTAATAAAATAAAATAAGAGAATGATCTAATGAAGTACACAGCTAAGGTATCCAAAATATATCTTACCACGAGTTATAGCTAATACTCGTTTCTCTGATGCAATATAATCTTCTTCAGAAGCTTTAAGAAGAGTATACAAGGGCCCACAAACATCTCAATAAGTTTGCTATTTCCTCGAATAGTTTCGCACATAGTTAATAAACCGGTTGCCGATGGTTGAGACGACGTTCTTATCAGATTGAAAATTTTCAAGGATCTGACCGTCTTTATAACTTATTAGTTCTAATTTCATCCCTACTTCAATTAATAAATAATATAAAGTATATTCAACAAATACTAATTTTTTTAACTTTAAAACCTCTCTGAACGTTATTAAAACTGATAATTTTTATTTTCATTAAAATCGCAAAGAAAAAAAACTGGTGATTATTTTTCTGAAGCAATTTAATTTTTTAAATCAATCAATATTCACATTATAAGAACACAATATTTCTTTACATAACTGCATCCAAACTATTTTTCAGCAAAAACAATTTTGTCTGTTTACCATAATCATAGCAAAAAAGCTCTAATTTCAAATTCATTTCTCTGTACAGCTCTGCTGAATGAATCCACCAAAGGGAATAATAACAACAGATCAAAGCTGAACCCATTTATTGGTAGGGCGTTGATAAGACGATCAATGATTCCAGTCATCTTACAAGTGATCCTCAGCAAGACAAGTGCACGTCTCAACTGGTATACGTCATAAGCAGGAAGATCCTGGTGCGTACATACTGAGAAGCTTCAAGTGCACCAACTTATCGTGCATAAGTGATGGTGGTGGTGGTGATGGTAAGTCCATATACATCTACATCTGTACATCCTCCACGCAATCCTCAATAGCGTCTAGGTTTAAAGCAGCGAGAGAGAAAGAGGACTTGAGGGCTGGAGCTTTCGCGGGAAGCGCGAGATATTCTATACGAACAGTAGGGGGAGATTTGCGAGAGTGGGAAAGCCATTTGAGAGGGGATTCACCAAAGTGTAAGAGAGAGAAAGAGAGAGAGAGAGAGAGAGAGGGAGATTCAAGTTTCAGAGCGGGTAAGCAGACCATCGCAACCCTCTGGTGCTACAGTCGCACCGCGACACCCTCACGATTCAAACCGTGATTGTGTGTTCTTCAAGTCATTTAAATCCGTTTGCTTCATTGTTGTCGTCATGAAAGTGTAAAAGTCTTACACCCTGGCCTTATTTCTTCAACATTCTTTCGATTTCGGATATCATAGTGCAGGTAAGATTTTATCCCGGATTTATCTTTGCTTTTTTAGGATCTGAAAAAGAACTTGGAGTTGTTTGAGCTTTTCGATCAAATTAAGGTTTTTTGTGGGAGAAAATAAATAAGTGATAGATGAGAAGTGTTTGGAAGACTGCCAGTGTCATTGTTGACTTGGTCTTAAAGGACCTGTTGATGTGAAAAAAAATAATTGTGCAATCAAGTGTTTTGTCAACATCATTCTTTTTTTAACATTCAACCCCTGTTTTTTGCAATTTTCTCTATTAATATTTTTTAAGCAGATAAATTTTTCTCTTTCTTGCGAGAGACTTATGACAATGTTGGCAAGATCTACCTCTATACACGTGATCCAATTAACTTGGGAAATAATGGAAGAGGTTAAAGAGAAATACGATGATAAAAATTGGACTGAGGATTAAGAGTGAAAAATTTCAAGAAATATCAGACGTGAATGTTATTCGATATTAGGTGTCTTAAGATGATATTACATACATATATAATATGATTGCTTGGAAGACTGCCAATGAATACATAAGTTGCACGTGGACCTGTTGATAATCTCAAACTAATCTTTCTGAATTTATTCAATTATTCTCCAAAATGACATGAGTTTCATTTTATAACAGCTTTGGCTTTTTTTGTTTAACTCTTTATTAAAATCAGTCGAAATTCACTTACTGATATCGCACTCATGTAATAAATTTATAGCTTTGTGTAATTTATTAATAAATTTAGTCACACAGAAATTCTCGTAATCTGTGTTAAATATGCATAAAAAATATTGTATTTTCAGTTTATCATTTTTTTTGTAAAGTTTATTTATTTTTCTTTCACTCAATATTTTATGATCACTTTATGTACATTATTCTGTTGATAATTAATTTCATAGCTGTTTAACAGTTTGAGTTTTTAACAATTTGAAAAATTCATTCAATTATCTTTGCTTTTTTTATTATACGAGATTTTTCAATCATGTTATTCAAAGTATTTATATTTTTGGAAGTCGATGAAAATAAATGTAAACTTGAATTAAACCGAGAAGAAAATTTGCAAATTTTTGATGCAAATATTCTCTAAGAAAAATTATTGGAAAAATCTGTCTCGAACAAAATAATTTCCCCACATGTTTTTTTTTTTCTTTGTTTGAAAATTTATTCCAGATAAGATAATAACGATAGAAAATAAGTAGATATTAGCATTTTGAAAGGGCAGATAATCTTGATTTCCAACACTCTAATCAAAACAAATTTTATTTATAAACATTCTATGAAAAAAATTAATTATATCATTTAAGTCGACATTACTCATTTTCATTAGTAATCCAAAATTCAATTAGTTATCATCACACATTTACATGTAGTGTTTTTCATTTTGAAATATTTCCTATTTAACTTTATAAAAATTATAACTAAATTTATTTCAAAGAAACAACATTGTTAACTCATCTCGATTCATCGATTGAAAACATTTGTTAAATGTTAAATAGACTTGAAGATTTACTAATTTAGTCGTCAGTACACAAAATGGTTTTAACAATAATAAGTGATCATCTATTTTGATAACGAGCATTACATCAAGAGTATTATTGAAGGATTAATTTTAAATGCTTGAACATCGTAATTTTTGGTTTCAATATTAAATTATTTACAGGACTCCGAGATATTTTATCAGAGAATTTTTTTTTTTTCTATTAGATTTTTTAGCGATTCATAAGTGAGAGAGTGAAAGAGGAATGAGAGAAATGAAATGGAGCTTTATTGCAAAAACTCGATGCGAGCGGCAGATGTTACGTGGGTTCTTGTCGTGTTGCTGGCACCATGCGCGTGTCCATGCTATGAAATTTCATTTAAAATGGTCCAACGATTTTGTTTGGCGATATGCTAGAGATAAACAATTATGTCATTGAGAAAAGTCGATTAAACTATTTAGAAAATATTCCTTTCGTTTCTCTCTTTTTCACTTGATAATTTTATTCAGGTACTTTTGTTTAACGTAATCAGATGTATTGGTGTTTTTAAGATTCGCAATGATCTGCTCAAAACAATGAAAGACAGAAAATGGTTACGAGCTTTTATATATTAATGAGACAAGTTTTTTTTATTATTTATTTTAAGGTCTTGAAAATATTAATTAAAAAAAAAAAAAAGAGTTTTTCTCTTCCAACGAACTTGATAATAAGCATTTTAACAGAGACACGGAAAATACGTTATAAATTGTTCCATATGTAGACTGTAGTACACTGCATTAGAGGATAAACGTGCGTGCAGGGTTTTGGTATATACGCACTGGGCGAGCTGCTTATATTTATTACGATAGGTTTTCAGCCAAAATACGCGCCAACCCAAAATTTATGGTCTCTCGCACCAACATATTCACACAAATCTACACACAACTTTCGGAAATATATTTATATATAAACGTTATTCGCACCTTTCAGAGATGTATCAAAAAAATATATCCTCAAGTATTAAAAATAGCTATTTGTATAAACCATCACTATTTCGATACACTAGTATTTTACCAAATATGTAGAATGATGGGTCTACTAGAATCAAATTTTTTATTGTCAATAAAGTTATAATATTCTTTTTCTTTTTCATTTAAACGCTTTTATAAAAACATGCAAACGAAATCTACTCTCATCAATTACATTCCAGTTTAAATATTTTTTACGACAATAAAAGAAAAAAATGACGAAATAAAATTTAATATAATAAAATCTCTATCATTTAGTACTCAACGATATCTCAGTTTTCCACGCAGTTGATTGTTGATGAAAATGAATGTTGTAATGGATCAGACGTGTAGCAAGGCTTTTAATGTTTTGATCATTATCTTCTTTTTGTTTCCATTTCTTTGCTTTTGCTCTACTCTCAGCTCACCAGGAAAACATTTAGAAACATTTATGACAATGATGTAAAATTATCGAAATAATCATTATTTTTTATTTTATTCGTCTGAATGGTGAAAATCATTTTTCTTTGTTCTGTTACATAAACGAGTCGAAATATTATAATAATTAGAGCGAAACAATTTTTTACTTTACTATTCTTGAATAATTTTAACATTTTAAAACAATCGAAGACCTCCATCAATTTGGAATATATTTTTTTTCAATTTTTTGTGTAAAAATTAATTGATAACAAATTCATATGACCGTTTTAAAACTTAAAAAAATTTTTTTTTAAATTCCGTTATTGATTCACTTCTCATCATAATTTACTAAAAAATTAAATAGTAACGATTTAAACTCGAGCCATAAAATTTCACTATTCGACAAAAAAAGCTTTATCAGGTACACACAATTTTTAAAATACTACAAAACTGATTAAATTACGCTATGAAATTTTTATTCATACCATATCTATTTGTCGACTCTCTTTGATGCTGCAGTATTTTGTTCGTTGGAATTTTAAAATTCAATTAAGTCTATTAATAAATTTGATAATTATTTTATTTTTTGGTATTTAAAATAAAATTGTGTTACCTTAGACGGATTATGAGTAATAATTCGTTGTATAGAATACTGATTGTGAATTGTTTTTTAAATAATTTTTTCAGAAAAAAGGATTGGAGGGAGGATTAAAAATTCTTTCGTCTTTGTTCTTACCCCCTTTCTCCTTATGAGGGGGCTTGAATAAAAAAATCCTTGGTCTTATTGTTAAAGCATAGCTATATTGGGATGTTAATGTGTTGAGCCAAAGCGCATAAAGTGGTCTCTTTCTATTGTTTTAAGTCATTAAAAACCCTGAGTGGTGTACATATGAGCTTTGTGAATGACTCGAAAACTACATCAGACAGTATTAGTTATTAAGACATCAGATACATACAATTCTCTACTCAAATTCATTCCTGAGATTTATTTATTTTAAAAATAATTTCCACTATTCAGGATAATCAATAAAATTCAATAATTCTTCGAGCTTAAATGTAAAATGAATTTCATGAAGAGCTTGGAGAGGGCTGAAAAAAAATATAATCGAAATATTTTATAATTTTCATGTCTAAACTAATAAGCTGTAATAATAACAATTAGGGAGTGAGAAAAAATTAGTAATTTAATGAAATGAGAAAAAAATTAATGAAAAAAAAAAACACATCCAAGTTGGACAACTTGCGTAAAGGCGTTTTACTTTTTTTCTATCTAACATAAAAGCCATCGTGAACTTTTTCAACCCACTTTATCTTCCTCCCTCTCGCTGTTTCCCTCTCTTTCTCCTTTTCTACGTGCCAGTTTCATTTACCTTTAGTTACTAGTAGTACAAGCTCATCTCAAGTTGTGATAAGGGATTTTTTATCATCTGCGTGCGAGAAAAATTATTTCAAAAAAAGCCAGATAATGTTTTTCAATAGACAATAATAAAATAACCAAATATATTGAATTTTTTAATTTTATTTTAACTGTTGGGAGCTTTTTTCAAAAAAATTTCACTTTAATATACAGAGTGATTTATTTCACAATTATCTGCACAATTCATCAGATTGATTATGAAATTTTTTTTACAAATCATTGAAATATTTAATTTGAAACAAAAAAATTTAATAAAAATTGAAAAATTTTGGAAAAATAAACTTAATAAATTCTCTTTTGTTTATAAAAACTAAAAATAAATTGAATAAACTGAAGAAGATGAAGGAAAATTTAAGAGAATATGTATGTGTATTTAGTTATGTATATAAAATCAATGTACATGCGTTTATACATATCACATGGCTGTGTAGTGTGAATATAAAACCGCAAGAAGAATCTCTATATTCAGATATTGAAAATCATTCTCTCCTCTTTCTTCTGCAGCTTATATCCTCTGTAGCTTTCTGCCGTTTTCCTATGTCTTCAACACGATTTCCGGCGGATAACATCCTACGGCGAGTAGAAAATGTCAGATATCGAGAAATTGATCAGCTGAGTAAAAAGTCGAGATACATAAAGTGAACATAAATCATATCAATTTATTCACACTTCCATGTGTCAGTTGTTGTCAATCCTTTTCCCAAAA